CTTCCTCCTGGCCAGCCAAATCAGAAATTCATTCCAATAAAGTCTGTCATGAATGAATCTGTCAATCAACACCACACCAACACCACTTGCCTCAAAGCATGTGTACGTACCAGGGATGGAGCCCTCTGGCGGCAGCCTCCTCAGATCCTCCATGTCCATGTAGCGTGAGAAGCCGCTCTCCATCTTCAAGAAAACAATGTGTGAATTGAAGCGTTGTGAAGATTCTGTGAATCAGTGGAATGTCATTCATGAGTCATGTGTCATGTGACTGGTTTGGGCCAACATCAAATGAACCATCAGTGTGGTAAATCAGCAAACAGTCAGCAAGTCATCAATGAGCAAACCAGTTCAAAGTGACTATACTACCAAGTGTTCAATAAATGATTGATTGACAAATGGGGCCCATGAATGAAATGAAAGTATGAGTGAGCACCTCCACGAATGTAGAGCGCCAGAAGACCAATTGTCAGACCTCAATTCAGCAGGTGTCAAGTGACAACTGGAACAAACAATCGACTTGGCTCAAGACCACTGATTCTAACAGTGAGTTGACTGGCATCATTAATCATTATGCCCTGAACTGCTAAAGTCTTGGTTTACTATTTCATTTGTTTCCACTGATCTCAGTGCCACACATCTTGAAGACAGAAGAACTCGAAGAAAGACATCAGTCAGGAGTCATATGACAATTGTTCAAATGGTCAAGTGACGTCAAGTGACACATGTAAAGGGTCAAGTGACACATGTAAAGGGTCAGGTGACACGTGTAAAGGGTCAAGTGACGCATGCAAGGGGTCAAGTGACACATGATCTCAAACGCTGAGACTTGAGCTGTCCAGAACAACAATATCAAATGTTGACAATATGTGTTCTCTCGTTTAAACCGACAAGCAATGTTCTTATCACCGTATGCAATACAAATAGTTTCAATCACTCCTACAAGGGATAACAAAGTCCCCGCTTAAGGTCATCGGTGTAGAAAAGACTAGTATCAAAAAAGGCCGGTTACCACTTTTTTGACCTCGCAAAAAGATCTACCTCACTTTAATTTCAACCTTCACTTCTTTGACTCAGGTTGGTTCTTTGGTGTGTCTCGATTGATTTTTATTAGTATCGCTTATTAAGCGATACTGTTTTTGTATGAAGGAATAGCATCCATATTCATATTAAAAAGATATTTACTTATACTATACTTTTGAGAATTCCTAAAAATTAGCAAAATCATCACCGATCTGGCCCCTAGCTGATCTAACCCCCTCACTCCCAGAAGTGATATGACCAGACTCTGGCGGAGATCACCGACTCCGGATTCCACCTGGTCCGCGCTGAAAAGGATCCGGGAGACCAAGGAGTTTCGGTTGAACCCATCGAATTGCCTGATCAACCAGCTCCATCTCTAGGAACGGCAGTGAAAGCGGAAGACTCTGCAGAAGCTACATACAGGATCCGGCTTGGCAGTGATGACTGGGCCACCAGATGCGGACGCAGAAGTTGCGGTAAAGGAGGTCGCGGGCCGAGAGGCCGCGCCTTCCGGATCGGCTGAGTCGGTAAAGAAGGAGCCGATCGATGCTGCGCCTGTGAATGACGAGGAGGTCACGGGCCAAGGGGCCGCGCCTCCTGAGTTAGAAATCGCAGGTCAGTCAGCTCCTGTCATGCAAAAGCAGAGATCGACTCCTTCTGCGGCCGATGAGCGCGAGGGAAGAGAACATGCCTCGGAATCTGCCAAGGATGGGAGATCCGAATTAGAAGAAGAAGAAGAAGAGGATCTAGAAGCTGAGGTGACCAAGAAAGAGCGGCGCAGGAAAGAACGCCCTTCAGAAAAAAGTTCACTCAGGAAGGCGCAGACGTAAAAGGCCATCGAGGAGACTCAAGATCCTAAGGGATGACAAGGAGAAGAAAAAGCGCCGATCGGATTCGGAAGAATCGCCGATGGGACGGGGCCGTGATCGGAGGGGCGACCCCGAGAGGAGTCGTTTGAAGAAGAGGGGTTCGGGTTCGAGAGCCATTGGAGCGAAGCCAAAAAGGGAAAGGAGCCGGAGCCCGGATTCGCCGCCTCGTCGGCCAAGGAGCCCGGACGGGCCTCCGCCTCAATCTCTGGGTGAAGAAAGTGTTGTTTTGAGGCCGACCTAAGAATGGGGATCTTGGGTTTGCTACGTCTGCGGAGCGGTGAATTCGCCAGAAGAATATGAGCGCTATGTATGTCAGGACAGCTTCTGGAATTCTACGGGATGGGCCAACGAACTCTGCCGCGAGATCAGGAGGCGAGAACGGGCTGCAAAAAAGGCGGTGTTCGCGACTCTTCTTGCCAAGGCCCTTGCTGCTGGTAGGTGGGAATGTGACAGATGCGGCGGAGAGAACATGCTTTCGCGTGTCAAATGTTACCAGTGCTCCACCCTGCGCAGTCGACATCGTGGGGACGACGAGAGCTCGGACTCTGAGAGAGAGACCGGCTGGTGGAACAGACGCTCCGCCAGATGCCAGACGCTAAGAGAAGGAAAAAGCGGGGTGGCAGGAAGCACAAAAAGAAAGTGTGCAAGTGCGGAAGCGTTCACCACCAACCTCGCCGCGGGCATAGGGTACCGCGGAAGGTCAAAGGCCCTTCGACCGCGAGAGTGTTCGCGATTGGATTGAGGAAAGGATTGGTGAGCAAGAGCTGGAAAGAACACTTCTTGCCCCGCAAGTTGCTGAACAGGCTGCAGCACGCTCTGAACGGGAATGGGTTCACGATTGACATGGCAGTCAAGGTGTTGGTAGCTGCAAGCTTGATTCCGCTCGCCTGGAAAACGGAACAAGAAGCTGAAGAGGTGCTTGATAGCATCAGCAGCCTCGGGTCCGGGTGATCTTTGAGATTGGGGAAACGACGGCTCAGACCATCCAGGTCACTGGCCTGATCTTCAAGTCTGCAGTCCTGGGCCTTGGGATCATGATGCTTTGGTTCCTGGGCAGGGTTGTCGCCAATCGGCTTGTACGGGCTTATCATGGAAACACTCTGCCTGCTAGGCTCTTAGAGTATAAACCTGATGGGCAGACAAGCTGGGAGGTGTCCGGCTCGAAAAGGAAACACGTTGTGTGGATCCGGCTGACTTCACCTCGCCAGTCAGCTTGCGCCTGCAAAAGTTTTATCGACTCAGGGACGCGCGGGCATATTGATGCCGCCGTCGAACAAGCCAGAATGATGGGATTGGCTCCCAGTCGAGCGGTTCAGTTTGAAGAAGGCTCTCTGGCCAAGGTCAAAGGTGCGGCAGCTCTTAAAGGAATGGGTGTCGGAGGTCGATCCACAGAAGCTCTTTGCTTCACCGGGATGGTGGACAAGGCTCAACGCCTGTTCAGCGCCGAGGGGTCGAAGCCCTCAATGGACTCGGCTCGCGGTTGTTTCAAAGGGTTGACGCACGGAAAGGCCAATGAAGGCACACAACTCGCGGTCCAGGAGAAGGACGCGGTCGTTGTGGGGCACGCGGCTCGCAAGAGCGCGGCTCAGTCAGAGATTGAGTACGTCCGAAACAAGGACGCGCAAGTTCGGGTCATGGAGCTTTTGAAGGAGAACCCAAGAGCATCCGTACGCCTAACGGCGTATAGCCTGGATCAACCTGAGTTGATCGAAACGCTTGGAGCTCATCAAGGTTCCGTACGAGTCTTGGTGGATTCAGGAATGACGCACCAGTCTCGTACGAAGATGCAGCTCCAAAGCCTCATGATGCTCCGAAATGCTGGGCACCGGATCCGCGTGTGCAAGGGCGGGTCCTTGAGCGCAGCCTATGGAGAAGATGGCCGCGAGCGCGGCGGGAATGGGCTTAAAAGGGGTCCAGCATTCCAAGACGTGCTTCTTGGAGGATGACCACAGTGGCTGGTTGGTCATTGGCAGCTGCAATTGGACGACCAGCAGCAAGGCCAATAGGGAAGCAGGAGTGGTGATCACTTCCTGTTCCAGCCTCCAGGCTTTTGTGGGTTTTAAGGCCACTTTGACTCGGATTGGGAAGTGGCTCGGACCTTCGATGTATACCAACCAGGTCAAGGTGGACGTGGACGAGTTCAGTCCGGGAAGGCTTCGACAGAGAGCCGCTGAACTGTCCAAGCGGGGTAGAAAGGCCCGTTAAGGGACGCCCTGCTGGCACGTTGTGCGCGGGCTGGTCTGAGAGCCGGACACTAGCTTAGAGTAGCTACCGGCTGAGGGGCGAGCGTGAGCGTCCCTACCAGCCTTTTGCTTTTTGTCTTTGCATGTTTGTATAGATGTTTCACCATGCTTCTTTTGGCTCAAGCATTGGCTTGGCAACTGAGCACGGAAGTAAGCACCAAGCAGCTTCCCGCTCAGTCTCACTGACTGCTGAACCCTCGAGCAATAAACAGTTGAGTTGCTGAGTTTGGAGAGACTTCCAAGACCGGTTAGCTTTGCTCGCAAGTAACAAGTGCCTTACTAGTAGTAACAAGAAGCTAGTAGTAACAAGTGCCACGCTAGTAGTAACAAGCGCCTTACTAGTAGTAACAAGAAGCTAGTAGTAACAAGTGCCACGCTA